TGTGTATAAGAGACAGCTTGGGGGCACCAGCGGGGGTGTTTTGGGGGGGGGGGAAGGGGGGCACCTCTGCGGCGGGGTTCCGGGGGTCGAACCCCTACCCCGGCTTTGCCCCCGGGGGGCCCCGCCTGACAACCCTGGTTGCGATGGTCCTTGTATCATCCAATTTCTTCTTCGCCCCCACGATGCTCTCGTCCTGCCCTTGCTTACTCATCTGCTGCAACCGCAGTTTCCACTGTTGCATTGTCCACTCCTGCAGTTTCCACTGCTAGAGTCTCCACTCCTGCAGTTTTCACTGCTGCGGTTTCCACTGCTGCAAGGTGCCCAGTTTCCACTGCTGCAGTGTCCATTGTTGCGGTTTCCACTACTACAAAGTCCACTGCTGCAGTTTCCATTGCTCCAATTTCCAGTTCTCCGGTTTCCGCTGCTGCTTTTTCCACTATTGCGGTTTCCACCGCTCCAGTTTCCACTGCCGCAGTGTCCACTGTTGCGGTTTCCACTGCTGCAGTGTCCAATTTCCATTGCTCCAGTTTCCACTACTCCAGTTTCCACTGCTGCAGTTTTCAGTACAGCAGTTTCCCTAATTGTAATTCCCCCTACTTTAGTTTTTACAGCTACAGCTTCCTGTCCTGCAGTTCCAGTGCAAAGAACATCACAATCTCTCCGACGCTCACGTCCTTTGCTCTGAAATCTTGCCCAATGCACCCCCTTCTCATCTTTGTCTATGATTGGCGGTAGACGACTGCGTTCCTCCTCACCACCCCCATCTCCTCCACGGTCTGGCTTGCGAACAGACTCTCCAGTTTCCATTATTCCCATTGTTCCACCTGCATTGCCAGGTACAAGTTCAACTTCTATTTCCAACACCACTACTCCTCTTGTTCTGTATCACCGACGACATCCGCAACATTGCCACTTGTCCGGGGATCAACAACATGTTTCTTTGTCTGCCCCGATTCTCTTTGTGCCTCCTCCACATGTTGTTGCGGTTCCTTTGCTTCAAACGGCAATATCCAATCCTGTGCCTCCTGCAGACAGTCCAGCTGCCTGCAAGCAGCCACCAGTCCCTACTCAGGATGCAGCCGCTGCCCAGAGTACACTCCCGACTCCAGGTACAGTCCCTACTCAGGATGTAGCCCCAAACGTTGAGGGATTGGAACATGATATGCCCGGATTGCAGTTAGACCCCACAAGGCGTAGACCACATGGGGGATCTGCAAATGGCTGACCAGCATTGTTTGGATGAAACACAATTTTGTGCTCCGCCACACGCAGACCACATGGGTGATCTGCAAATGACTGACCAGCAAACAACCCAACACAGTTGGGGCTTGCAACACCATCTGGGTGATTTGCAAGTTGTTGGCCAGCATCCAACAAACCAGCCTGAGAACCTCACCAATCTCCGTGGTCTGACAGCACTTAATATTTGTCTTCACATTCTCCATCGACCGTTTTATACACCATCAGACTTCCTTGCAATCGCCCTTCAACTTGATGCTGATCTTGCCCAACGACAGCCAGAGGATTGTAATTATATCATTGAAGGAGGCTTTACCATTTCTTTCCTACAAGTAGCAATGAGGAACCGTCAACTTGAACTACGCAATGCTCGAGCAGGTGAGTGGTTTAATCCTCCATCCCACATCTCTACCTGCATTGTGCACGGCCCTGGCCATTACATGGCCATTGTACATGCTTTTGACCACTGGGAGCTGTGGGACAACGACACCATGGTCCATGCCATGATTGATGTCACTGATTTCTTACAAAATGATGTTGTTTTCTTGCCACAGGAAACCGTCTGCAATCTTTTTTTATGTCGAAGATCATTCCTCTGGCCCCGTGCTGCAGCAAGACAATGCACCAACACTCTGTGACCTTCTCCTTTGCACAACCACAAACAGTGTTACACCTAGCTGTAGCCGCCATCATCTCTGTCACAATCACTACAATCACATGGTTTTTACATCCATGTGTGCAGAGGACTGTCCCACCGTTCCTGACTGCAGGCACCTTCCGCATTCGGACACTATATGTCCATTTTGCAGCCATGGGTGCTATATTGAATGCATGCTCTTTTGTGGTGACCGGTCTTCTTTCATTTTGGCCTGCAATCGACCATTTGTCAGGGGTGTATGGCGGACATGCTCAATGCCCCCCGTCGTGGCAATTGCTGCAGTGAGAATGCTCAGCTAGGTCTTCCATGTGATCATCTACGTCATCCTTACAATGTATGTCCTCTCTGTCGTCAAGGACAGACTCATTCTTGAGCCTTTTCTTATCCTCTTTTGCCTTCATCTTCACTCCACACTCCATACTTTCCCTTACTTTCTCTTTATCGTTCTTTGTTTGTTTGATCTCCATATCTCTCCCTGTGTTTATCCCCGCCCCCTTCACTCTACTTCTTTCTCACAGCGTACAAGAGGGGTTGTTATGGCACACGGGGATGGGGCCAGCTCGCACTCAACTTCGTCAACGTGGCGAGCCTTGCACGTGAGAGCCACGATGAAAGGGGGGTCAAAAGAAGAATGAGTAAAATGAATGGTTTCACTGTGCCCTTCATGTTTGTCTTGTTTTTTTTCTATTTTCTATTTTTGTCGTTTGTTTCGCAAATTGCGCTCTTTTAGTTGATAGTTATGTGTCGTTCGATTTGCAAACGCAGAGAGCTAGCAACGTCGGCATATATATTGTCACAGAACTATCGACCAAGAGTGTAAGCACTTGAAGTAGAAGAAGAATAGGATGAACGAAGAAAAGAAAAATGAAAGGACAAACAGGTAAAGAGACAGACATACCAGAATGACACAAAACAGTGTCCTCTTATTCTTTGTTTCACTTTATTCTTATTTCTTTCAGTGTTTTACAAAAAAAAATTACATTGAACAAGGGATAAAAATAAAAAACAAAGACGCGTTGAAATCATTCAGTTTCTTAGTCTTCTTAACGCCGCCTCCACCGTGCCTCTAACGTACAAGGCTCGCCACGTTGATGAAGTTGAGCGCGAGCTGCCCCCATCCCCGTATGCCATAACAGCCCACTTGCACGCTATGGGAAAGATGCAGAGTGAAGGAAGAGGTGTTAAACACAAGGAAGAGCGGAGCAGAAGAGGAAAACTGATAGGCAGAGGGAGAAAAACTCAAAAAATAATAGAAAAAAATTGACACAAATATCTTCTTTCTTTTACCGCATTCTTCTTTCTTTCACAGTTTTGCAGTTTTGGTGAAGAGTCTACAACGTTCGGTTTTCAGTGCACCTGCACTTCTTCATTTTTCATTCTCATTTTCACCCTTCGGACTTTTCCTTTGAGGGTGTTCAGGTGCAGGGTACAAACAAAGTAAAATAACACAAACTTATATTCTTCTTTTACTGCATTCTTCACTGTTTTGCAGTTTTAGTGAAGGGTTTCCCACCTTTGCACATTCTTGTATACTCTTTTCAGTGCACCTGCACATTTTTATGAGGGTGCAAGGTACATCTAAGTAAAACCCTCACAGCAGATAGGACAATTGTCATAAGGATGCGGGCGATGGTAGCAGCCCTCCCGCTGATCTACAGGACGAAAACCATTCAGGTAAGCAACTTCGTCACAGCAGGAGCCAGGACGCCTAGCATTAACCATACCTTTGAAGCATGCACGATAGAGGGCATGCCGGTTGCAGGCCATGACGATTGTGGGGCGTTCACCATCAGAGTTAAGTGCACATTCGCTATAGCGCCCGCAGGCACAGATGGGTCATGCTGCATCTGCATGTAGAGGATGTTCACAATCCGGATACAGGTGGCATCCCTGCCGGCAGCGGGCTCGGAAAATTATACGGTTGTAATGATGTCAACAAAGTCGATGCTTTCCACAACCAAGTGTAACTGTGTCAGTAATCTCACAAAGGAGGAGGTCACAAGGTGTTAGTGCAGCATGTGGGGGAATGAAGACTAAAGCAGGCACGGTGACAGACATGGAGGTAGACACGGAAACAGATACAGAAATAGACATGGAGACAGGTGTGGAGGCAGGCACAGAGACAGGTGCAGAGGCGGGGACGGAAGTACACATGGTACCGATAGGGTCAGTAATCTGGAAGGAGACAGACACAGAAACAGGCACAGAGACGGGTACGGAGGCAGGCACAGAGGTAGGCGTAGAGGCGGGCATGGAAGTACACAAGGTACCCATAGGGTCAATGACCTGGAACAGTTGCAAGTTAGGGTAATTACGCACGAGAGCACAAATGGCATTAATAGTTTGCACCATAGCACCGCCATTCCATAATTCCCAAGAACCAAAGGCACAAACAAGAGCAATGTAGTGGCCGGGAGCATGTAGAATATAGGCACAAACGTGCGAACAGTGGTCCGGGTCGCCACCCGAAGGGGCACGCTGCATATCAAGCTGGCGCCTTATCAAAGCAGTCTCCAAAACAGAGACATTGAATCCCCCATGTGAAGTGTAATTACTATCTTGCAGGGGATGCAAAGTCGGGTTATCGCCATATAACTCACGTTCTTGAGCATCAAGATCGGAAGCAATGGCCAAGAAATCAGAGCGAGTATATGGTTCCCGACGATAGGCTTGTAAGCAGATGTTAGTAGCAGCGAGGCCACACATATTCGGTGGAGGCAAGTCAGGCGGATTTTCTACAAAATCTCCTACAGTCCCCTTGCCAAGTCCATCCTTGGATGGTCCCTCGCCATCATCCCTCCTATTTTATGTTTGCCACGTTGCAAAAAGGTCTGCAGTCAAAGAGCGTCGCAGGCGTGGTAAGGATGATTGGGGCGGCAAAAGGCGGGGATGGGATGTTGGGGAGGGCCGTGGTGGGGAGAATGAACGGGCTCTTCTTCGTCCAAGTACAAAGATGGAGGAAAGGGGAGTAAGCTGAGGTTGGCAAGTAGGACGAAGTCGACGTCTAGGACGGCGAAGTAGGCTTTCTGCAGGGGCATAACATGATGAAGGAGTCTGTGTGGACGAAGTGATATGTGGATTAGGAAGAGGGGTAACGGATGGAGACAAAACCAGGGCAGGTTAGGAGTGGTGAAGACAGGGGTGGTAGAGTAGCCGAAAGGTGGGTAACAGACGGAGATCAAACCAGGGGAAATAACGTCGACGAAGACGGGGGGGATGAAGTCAGAGGTGATGAAGTCAGGGGTGATGAAGTCGGGGGAAATAAAGTCAGGGGTGATGAAGTCAGGGGTGGTGAAATGGATGAAGCAAAGACAAGGGGGGCAGTCGTAGGTGAGACCCGAAGAGGGGACTCTGCAGGTGGTAATGCAGGTAGGGGCACGGATGCCATGGAGGAACACACTGAGACCAAGGGCGACACAGCAGTTGTGGTGACCATGGATGCGATGGAGGAACCTACCGAGACCAAGGGCAACACAACAGTTGCAGGTCGAGTTGCTCCCGTAGAATCAATCGTAGAAGCAACCAAGACCAATGAGGAAGAGGTTGCGAACCGAAAAGGGCAGCCAGGGTCACAAACGGCATGGAAAGGGTTACTAAGACTGATGAGGACGCAGGTGCAACAGACACAGGTAATGAAGAAGAGGCTGTGATAGGTGTGACAGGCGCCGGTAATGAAGAAGGGGCTGTGACAGGCGTAGTCCAAGGACAGTGTGTGGATACCCGAGAAAGCGGGTGGTGAATAGACCATCGAAGCATGCTGCGAAACCAGCTGGAGAGGCGGGTCACGTGCACAGGGTACCTCTGTTGACGTTTACGAATATAGGAAGTCCATCCTTTCGCAAGCGTTGTTGAAAGAATGCCCGCGAAAAAGCATGCGGCGTGTGAGCATCGCTGCTGCAGTTTTGAAATCATACCAATTGTTGCAAACATACTCAAACCTAGTAAGCTGGCCTGTAAACACCCCCGCAGGTTGATGTGCTGGGACGTTAGACGTAGCACTAGGATAACGAATAACAGGGAAATTCCATTCAGCTGCTTTGTCAAAAACACTCATACGCAGGGAACCGTCAGGGCGGACTTGGAGGCGTGCACCCAAGAATGTGCAAGAGCCATCAGGCGTTGTTGTCTCTTTCCATTCGAGGCCATAGTGCTCTGACGGTGGTGGCAGATGTCCCCATGAGAGAACATCATCGATCAAGCGGTATTTGAACGCATACCGTTGAGTTGCGCGAAGATCACGCCGTTGGAGGTCATCAACAAATCGAGCCTCATCCCAATGCAACGTCAAATTAGCTATCTCCGGACCAGAATTAGTCCCCATCGAGATGCCAATCAGTTGTCCACGTGGTCTATTGTAACTGTGCATAGGGATCAAGCGAATTTGTGTTTAGAGAAAAGGGAGTTCCCCTTCTGACTTTTGCTTTTTGAGATGATATTAGTTGAACGTTGAAGTCCGTGGCGGTCGTCGAAGTCAACACCCTTGATGTATTTCCGGGCCTTGGATGATGGAGCTCGTCTTTGAGGCCATAAGCGCTGACCTACACAAAGGGTTGGAACCCGTCTACCACCCACGCTCCACAAGGTGCAGAAGAGGGTAGAACTCTTCAACCGCCTTGGCGGTTGTCTAGCGTCGAGAGATTAACCCCTCAAGGCACATGTCAGCCAACACTTGAGTGTCGAAAGTGGCCCTTGAGACCATTGAGGGCCACGTGATTATGGGTACGACATAGTACGTCATCGTTGCGACTGCTTGCGTATTCATGCATGACTAGTCGATATGTGGAAGCCTGCGTCCGCGCGGTATTTATTCTAAGTCCACCGCACGATGCCTAATCCATTATTGTGTTGGAAAAGTCATGGGTCGCATAGAAAAAGGACTAGGAGTGTATTGTGCGAGTAATTTGATTCTTTGTTTTGGCATGGTGTAACATGTCGTAAGAAGGATGCGTCCTAGTTGACTGGCGTCGGGCCGTGTTCGGGACGTCAGCCCCCCAATGCATCGGCTCGCATGTGGGTCCGATAGAGGCGTGCGACCTCGGGTATCTGCAATTGCAACTGAGCAGCTTTCACACGTGGTTCAGTAGCTCGGCGGGGATACGCCCGTTCAAGGGTGGTGACAACCCCTTGGGCGAAGGTAAGTTGTACCTCGTGTGACCCTATCCTGTCGTAGGGGTTCGCATGAGGTATGGTTGGCGCACTCAACCAGAATGACGACGAAGCTCCACTGTATCGTGATAAAAAGTATTGCACGAATACTGCGTGACGCGCTGGGAGGGTCCCCTTGCGAGACCGATGCGCTCGACAACACCCCCCCCCTGCCGGGCCCAAGAGAAACAGCGTGGGGGCACTGCAGGGTCGGTGGCGTTTGCTGTCTGTGTTCCTCGCGTAGAGTCCCGAATGTCCGCGAACGACACGCACCCGTTCCTTTTTTTCATCGTGCAGGTTAGGGTCGTTTTGTAATTTCCCCACGCACGTCGGGGGGCCTATCAAACACAAGTACGTAGCAATGTGTTTGAGCATGTTCGGCGTCAATGCACAAAAACAAAAATTAGATGACATGAATGAGAGTAATTGGGGAGCAAGACAAAGTAAGTACGAAGGTTTTGTCAGGAAAAATGGGGGCTTAAACGGATAGGGCTGGAAACCAAGGACAAAAGGACATTAGGATAACACAAGGCCTAAATGGGGCAGATAAGGCTCAGGCAGAAGAAAGGGTAATAGGGGTCGGATAAGATGTTGCATGAGACAGTGACAGGCAAACATAGGTGTTATGCGGCTTGAGGCCCGGCAACACCTTCGGAGTCGATGGCAAAAAACAAAAATTAGACAACATGAATGATAGTAATTGGGGAGCAAGACAAAGTAAGTACGAAGGTGTTGCCAGAAAAAATGGGGGTTTGAAAGGGTAGGGCTGGGAACCAGAGACAAAAGGACATTAGGATAAGATAAGGGCCGGAATAGGTATAAATGGGGCGGATAAGGCTCAGGCAGAAGAAAGGGTAATAGGGGTCGGATAAGATGCTGCATGAGGCAATGACAGGCAAACATAGGTGTTAGGCGGCTTGAGGAGCTGCTAGGGGAGACACCTTGTAGGCGGCTAGGGTCAAAAGGAATAAGCTGACTCTTTCTCTCGTATTCTCCCCCCTTTCTCTTGGATGTACAAAAATGCTTGCCGGTGATAAGCAACCGGACTATTGCCCCCCAGAATAGAAGGGGCCTGTGAATTTTTTGGGGGAAAAAAAAAGAAAGGAAAAAAAAAGAAACTGCTTTGTTGTCAGCACATGTATCCCGTTGGGCCTTGGCTCCAGCACCCACCAAATGGGCCTTGGCTCCAGCACCCACCAAATGTGCAAAATGAGAATCCATCTCCCACTAGAACATGGGAAGATGCACCGCTGTTTTTGTTTTTCCCCTTTTTTGCTAAGCCACTGAGAATCCATCTCCCACTAGAACATGGGAAGATGCACCGCTGTTTTTGTTTTTCCCCCTTTTTGGTAAGCCACGCTGGGCCTTGGCTCCAGCACTCACAAGAAGTGAAAAATGAGACAAGATGGGAAGATAAACCGCTGTCTTCCTTTTTTTTTTTTTTTTTTGGGTAGCCTTGTGAGTGCAGGGGTTAGGGCAACATGGAAAGACCTGTTTATTTTTTTCTTTTTGGTAGCCCACGTTGGGCCTTGGCTCCAGCACTCACCAAATGTGCAAAAAAATGCATCTCCCGTTAGAACATGGGAAGAGACACCACTGCTGTTTTTTTTAGTAGGTGACCTTGTGAGTGCAGGGGCTTAGGGGACCAAAGGTGCAAAATAATGAATCTCCCGTTAGAACATGGGAAGATAGTTCAAGATACACCGCTGTTGAGTTTGCCCATGTGTGTGTGTTCTTTTGGGTGGGGACGAGCACCCAGGTGTCATACTGTGCCGCTTTGCAAAAACGCAACAGCATTTTTTTTCGGATTTGCGAGCCGTTGGTATGTGAATTGACACTAAACGTACTTATAATTGCAATACTGGCTCTGATTTCAATTTGTCGGCATCAGTTGTGTTATTTCTACTTACTTTTACTGTCCAGGCAAAATCCCACTGGTGATGGAATAGTTTGGAATCCTAGTACAGTATGACAGAGTGACACACTACTGCCATTGGATCTAACAGATCCGACACCCAGACCATGGGGGCATAGAAGAATTTATTCAAAATGTTAAAGAAGATTAATAAAAGTAGACGAAAAGAAAAGAAAAGTCTGTTAAACAACCACTCCATTGAGACATAACTGTGCATTGCAATTCGAGTGTTGGTGAACAGTACTGGGATGAGATACAGCAACCTTTCAGAACATCGTCCCGAGCCCACAGAAAAACGACAGAGCATGTGGACAACACACATGCCTGGACACAAAATATAATGTGCCTGAAAAAGAAGAACAGAGAGAACCCAAAAAAAAAAAAAACATCACATA